TTTAGACACCATTGTTAGATGTAGTGCTTGCCAGTTTTACTTCTCTGAAGTATTTACCTCTCGCTGAAACTGTGCCGAGATACTAATTACCCGAAATGGTCATTGTATCATGAAGAAAATAAAAGTCGAATTCAGCGGAAAAAGTCTTCTTTATCGACGAAATCATCTTCCCTCAGAAGCTGTACAATTGTGTTTATATTTACAAAAAATGTATAGTAGTCCATTATTTAGTAATAGTAGGGGTGATATAATTGATGGAATTACTTTGAAGTGGCTTCGAAAGGAAAAATAAAAGTTATAAATGTCTTCTTCTCAGTCATTTGCACTGAAATTATTTGTTTAAAACTTTAAAACAATTTGTTCCTTTTATGCATTTAGATAAAGCAATAAGAAGACGCAATTTGTCTAAATCGTGTAATGTATTTGCGCAACACATTTCGAACGATCTGATCACACACGTACTTGTCAAAGGAATATACATGAAACTAATAAAGAGGTAAGAGGTGAGAAAATAGGCTTAAGTCAAGTTAAAAGGACATATTGAAGGTCAAAATAACAATAAAGACCATTAAACCAAATAGCAGTAGTAATAGTACATCTGCTATGGTATCAAAACAAAATTTACCAAAGAAGGTTCAATGTGATGACGAATTGTTTTTGGACACATAAAGGTGGCTTGAACATCCTAATTGCTAGGGCTTCCATAAACTTTAAGATACGCCCCAACACGTTTTATAGATAGGTTTAAAAGATCTGTTAACATCAATTTTATGTCCTGTCCCTAAAATATGTTTCGCAATAGAGAAGCTAGGTCTCCTGTTCTCACCATTAATAGGTTCTGAAGGTTCCATTTGTTTCTGGAACCATTTAGGAATATGCTCTGAAGCCAGTCCCTACTTGCAGAGATCGATGAGTCCTCCCTATGTATGTGTGTCCACACGTACATTCAAACTGGTAAATACAGTGGGATTTGACGTCATTTTTCGTATGTTCGAAGGGCTTAGATAGATATAATGGCTTCAAATTCTCTATTATTATGATATTAGCTGCATAAAAAGTCTTTTTAACAGCAGCGTTCAGTCTTTGTCTAGTTATCAAGCTGCTATGATGCCGCATACAGGGTAGCTTGATGTACACGTCTTTCTTAGGGGCGAGTTGGAGAGTGTATCTTGGTGTTCTGACTACATTGTACTTCCTGATGAACTTGTCTGGATAACTGTTATCATCAACCAGAGTTTGTGTCAACTTTCTTTCTTCTTCATCAAGTGTGTCTTCAGTGCATATTCGTTGGATTCTACTGAAATTATCTGTGTTCGAAACATCACACACTGAATATGACTGATGAAATAAAATCTTGAAAACCAAAGGCAGAAAGAAAGATGTTATTACAAAGACGTGCTTTGTTGTAACTGTCAGAAGGTGAGCAGAAAAAAACTTGATGATCTACATTGATTCAGTTTCAAGAGGACGTTGTGAAGATGTAAGCCTAAAGTTTGCAAATAGTCATAAAGCAGCTGACACTTATTCATGTTTTCCTGCCACACCAGAGAAATACGTTTTAAAAGAATGGATACTGAACAAAGAGTACTCTTTCGATAAATTCATCATCAGGCTCTACATTTATACATACATTATAGTGAATGAATGAATGAATTAGTGTTATGAACGACATTAATGTTGTTTAACTAACATCGAATCAAGCTGTAATCAAAAAATAAAAAAAATAAAAAAATAAAATAAAAAATAAAATAGAATACAGCTGAATCGCATCAACATAAAATAAGCTGAATGTCAGAAAAATTAGGAAGGATAATATTACAAATTCATGAGTTTATAGTTTCTACTGAAGGCCAGGGCAATAATAGAGGCTGGCTGGACTTGCTTCTTTTGGATACAGAGCACTGGTTGTTTGAGGCGAATCGCAATAGCCTCTGCTGCTTGGAGCCTGTGGTGCTTCGATGTTCTTGGCAATTTATTTGGCACCCGGTATAATATAGAGAAGGATTCATCTACGCTGGCTTTGTGGCCGGCCGGTTTGCACCAGATGTTCCAATATCGAACTGTTGATAATTTTCACTACACCTTTACTTAGCCATGCTGGGAGATGTTCTCGAGTGAGCACAAAAAATCAAATTCCTAGAGCAACGGCCAATATAACTGGCTCCACAAGCGTTTTCACCTACTCTAGTATATTATTAACTCCTGTACAATTGCAGGCTTTGTTGTTCGGTCCGAAATTCTGTGACATCTCGACAGATTCAAGTCACTTGGATAAAAAATAAATGTCCAGTTTGAAGCAGTGATTCATCGCAGAAATGATCTTGTCACAGTGTCGGACAAATCATGTGAACAATTTAAGTCTACAACACTGAATAGCTGTCATCAGTATATCAATAGTAAACCAAATGTCAAGCGATTGATTTCAGCCAAGACTATGTCGGTAAAATGTTATCCATCATATCAGGTGAAGACAAATTTCCAAAAGAAAGTAACCAGAAAGAAGAAATTGAACAAATCACAGGTAGAATAATACAAATGCTGAAGGTAAAGAACTAATCGATTATTAACTCTGAATTATTTGAGCAAATATGCTCCTTGGATTCTGTAATTCCTCAATTATATGACCTCCTGAAAGTGCACAAAGAGAACGTACCACTACGTCAAATCTTGGATATGATAAATTCACCGTATCACACTTTCTCCAAATAGCTCGCAGACGTCCTTCTGCCTGTCAGAAATAATTCCTATCAATATAGCGTTTCGGGTTAACTTGAATTCGTCTATTTAGTAAGTGATGCTGTCTCTGGGAAGAAAATGATATCTGTAGATGTAACATCTCTGCTCACTAATATCCTTCTCACTGAAACTATTTACTTTATATTAAAATTCATTGAGGACAATAATCTGGACCGATGGCCTTACCAAATGCCTTCAGTTTACGAGAACTGTAGCTTTATAAAGTCGTGACCAGGGGGGTCCACCAAGTCAGTTAGGTTTCAGGACGAATACTCGCCGACGATGCCACTGGATGTCAGTGGAGCAGGAGTTAGAACTGATAAGCTCTCCTTGTTACCTAAAAGGTGCTGATTTGTACCAATGTCGGTAGGCTTATGGGTATGTAGTGCTAAAGAGTCTGAAATTAGGATAAAACTGCTCCCTACTACTCCCCTGTTTTCAGTAGGATTCTGACTGAATTCAAATCATTACTAAACTTAAATTATTTACTACTGTCTAAAATAGATGCATAAAAATATATCAGCATACGTTGTAGTTATACACTTGGTAGACTTTTCCTACTGAAATCGACTTAAGAAATATTGGCATTTGATGCGGTTAGTTTGAAGTTAATTTAAGATGACGTATTTCAAATTAGCATCATTATTTTTATTGTAACGATTATCTTTAAATGTCTGGAAAATATGTGCAATTGATTCGTCCATCTATTAAAGGGGGTCACTCCATTTGACATTTGATTGTATTTTATTCCATATTAGTTTGTTTATTAGATATATCACACAGAGATGAAACAGTATTATTTACTGGATGACAAAGTTTCGAACAAAATTTATTGCTGTTCATAATCATATCAATTGTAATCACTCGACTTTGAAACTTGATTTTTATAGTTTTCTCTGTCCTCTCCCATTTGTCTTAGGGGTAGTAGAATTTTCCAGATGTCAGGGACAGGTGATGAGTCATTTCCATTACATGTATTTGCAGTTGATTCGATAAATAAAGCTTCTGTTATCAATCTCTTCCTATACCCTGTTGTGACATTAGATTTTAAAACTATCATCTTATCCCATTCTCTAATGAATGGCTGTGTGTAACTGCATGTAATGAGTGGAATAGCTGAACTATTCGCTAGATTTCTTATCTTATTATTAGGGTCAACCAATCTAGATTTAGCTAGGGTTTTATGTTCTGTTAGTCCTACTGTCCCTGTTCTACTAGTTTGACCTATGTATTTGATCTGACAATCACCGCAGACAGGGTATTAGATAAACTAAATTGTTTTGTTTTAAAGGTTCCACACAATTAATCCTTTGACCGACAAAGCTTGTTTCTAATTGAGTTTGTGGGTTTGAATTCCACTTTTATTCCTGCCCGCCTTGTGGAGAATTCTGCGTAAGGTTTCCGAGGTTCCTTCCTTGTATGGAATTACTGTTGGTGATTTAGATTCCTTATTGTTGGTGTCGTCATTAATATTATTATTACCACTATTATTATTATTAGTAGTATTATCATTATTATTATTGTTATTATTATTATTATCACTATCGCTACTATCATTATTTATTTTTACATTTACTTATATATTTCTTGAGTAATTTATCCGGGTAATTATTAAGTTTCAAGGCTTCTTTTATGTGTATCATTTTCCTTGGTACTACTTAGTTTTTGTGCTCTGTCACTTAAACATTTCACCAATCCTATTTTTACTGCCATAGATTTGGTGGGCTGATCAAAATCCAAACATCTGTTTGAATGAGTGGGTTTTCTTTAAACACTAGTGTTTAGCTTCCCATCTTCTTTCCTTTTTACGTTGCAATCTAACATTGGAAGCTCCCCTTCCTGACTTTCCAATTCATAAGTGAATTGAATTGCTTCTACCTTCGAGCTGATCTGTTCGAGAAATCTATCTATATCTTGTGTTCTAAGTACAGTGAATGTGTCATCTACATACCTCCACCATACTTTTGGGGTGGGGGTGAACGTTTCAACCGCTATCTTTTCCCACCTATCGATGAATATATCTGCTACAACCGGGGATATTGATGATCCCATGGCAACTCCCTCAGTTTTTTTGTATATTTTCCCTTGGAATTCAAATACTGTGGAAGTCAGGCATATCTGCACTAATAGCATTATGTCCTCGAGTGTATTTTAATTTATTATCTGAGGTTGGCACTCAATTCCTTCGAATAACCACTGATCATGGCTTCAATACTTGACCGTTATCCACTTTACGATACTGCTGATTAGTCTAAAAACCAACGCGAAGATAACGGCTTATATTTTAGTTACAGAAAGGTAATTCAATAAATCAAGTTCACTCAAATGAATATATTATGGTGAAAATAAAGCAAAGTTTAATGGGATTACAATTCAATTTCTTTTTCCATTAGAACATGAACATATAATTATATATGCGTTCATTGTGATCACTAATTTATTCACCACACTTGACACTTTTCACTTGGATTCATTGGTGAGTCCAATGGGCAGTTGTATGCTCTTGCAAAATTTTCACTATTTGACAAAGCACCGATTACTCTAATAAAAAAAAACCGAGAAATAATGGATTAAATTATGAACTGATCCAGTTAAAGACGTAGAAAATTCTAGATGTTGTTAGCTTTATCTGCATAAAAATTTATCGAAACCCAAAATGAAGGCGGCCTACTTAAATCACTGGATTAGTTCAGTTTTCTATCCACAAAGAAGTATTGTATTTACTCCGTCTCATATTATTTTAATCATCCAATTATCACAATAACATCGCCCAATTAACTAGCTTATTAGTTTTCCAGCCAGTCCTAAGTCCTGGGTAAAGAGGGATGGTTGGGCGCAGGGCTAGCAACCCCACAACAATAAACCTATCAAGCCGCTAAAGAAACTTCAACATAGAGAAAATATATTAAAAATGCAAAAAATTCAAATAACACTGGTATTTTTCGCTCGAATCGGAAAGGTGAAATGACAAAGCAGACTTGTGAAAGCCTTCGAGACGCCAGCCAGCCGATCTCTTTTCTTCTTTCAATGAAAGAGAGGACAAGAATAGGAAATTGCAGTGTACGCAGCCAGCTTGAAAGGCTGTCTAGGAAGCCAACGAAATGTGAAGATATGGCTTAGAAGTACTGGGTACCTGTGGGTGCAGATGGAATGGATAGGGGTTGTCAAAATTGTCAACTGGAGAGTTAGTAATCTACTCCGGTCCAGTCATCCAGACTACGACCATAAACACAATGAGGCAGTGAGTGGCTATCATGATGTCACCAGTGGAATGCAGTGGAAACCGGTTTTCTCCTGCAGCATCGTAACAGCAATATTCAACTCAAAAGAAATGGAAGGAAGGTCACAGTTGTACAGTGCCATGCACAATGATGCAACAAAACTCGGAACAACAGAAGAAGGAAGATTTTTATGGACAACTACAAACAGTAGTGAACAACATCCCGAATGGTGGCATCAAATGGCATCTTTATGGGTGATATGAATATTAGGGAAACTGTTGGCCAGTAAGAATTAGCAGCGAGAAATTCTGGCTGGGAAAAAAAAACAACCAGAAGCCGATCGCTCAACAAATATGCAAGAGAAAGTGAAGATGAATCCAGGATACGTTGAAGAGGCTGGTGAATGACGTCAAGCTCCTGGCCATTTCTTGAATGGAACCCCAATGGTAAGCAACGAATATCTCGTTAAAGGGTGACATGAAAGAGATCATGCAAGGAGGAGATGATAAATTATGATCAACCGTGAGCCCAGATGAAGGGGAAATAGAGCAAAGTGGAGATGTCTGGTTGAATCCTTCTGTTCCATTTGGAACCCAAAGTAATGATAATAATTCTCACAATGAGTTGCAGTCTATACTCATGTAGAATTTCAAACAAGTTTCTCCCTATCGCTAGGAATCTGTTGAAGGAAGTGATAGAACAACACTGTGGAGTAGTATTTTAAACATGATTCTGGTGGAATAATATTGCTTCATTCGAAGATTCTGCACAAAGTGTAAATACCTTCCAATGAAATCTGCTGAAAAGTCTGTATTCTGTATAAGACCATCTTTCAAAATAATAAAGCTTTATAGGTCACTGACAATTTACTGAATTAATTTTTGACGACGAATCGAATATAGTCAGAGAACCACTAAGGAACCAAGGTACACTGAACAGTTATTTCATCCTAATATGAGCTCCTCACTGTACGCACCCATCCGGGTAAGAAACAAGAAACTTCGGGTTACGAGGCGATCTCGTAGATCATTCAGCAACCAGGACCTGGTGCAAGCACTCATTGCTTCCACCTTCGCCCACTTGATGATATGGAAACAGCGCAACCACCGGTTAATGTCACCAATGAAAAATTATCCTCTTGCCTGGCTTGTCTGACCCACCTAGTTACAATTTCTCGCTAGAAATACAAGTGACTTTCTGAATAGAATAGGGTCACAAGTGGACTTCAGATTAATTTTCAAGAAGTGGGTAACTATACTGAATAACATAGTTCAAAGAATGACTTGAAAACTTTCACATTTCTGATAAAATCTTACCTATAATGACCTAATACGTGATCAACGTTACTTGTGTGTTTAATTAGTCCATCTGCATTATACTTTTCACAAAATATCTGGAAAAAATAAGATCAACACCAAGATCCCAACTTCAATAGGTTTGAGTGCACACTTCAGATAATCATGTCGCATTCAGTGCATAAACAAGATTTGGATAACCGATCGACATGATAATAATTACATTAATAATAACGTGGTTTATAAATGGCGAAGAGTTTCCAGTCTGCTCATATCTACGTCTTAAAGCAAATCTGTCACATGCTCCGACTCCCGACGTACTTTTCCTTCCCAAAGGCAGCAATCCAAAAGTACACATGAGTACACAGTGTTCTTTAAGAACGCAAACAGGCAGACAAAATAAGCTACAACTGAGTGAATTCGACACATCATGGTCTATAGAAACTTAGACAGCCCAATGATTCAAGTAGGTCGTGAAATTAATTTAAAATAATACGACCAAGTCGGTTAAGTTTACTTCTCTTCAGTTTCGACTGATTTCAAAGTCATCAAGCTCTCTATTCCAGGAACTGGTGAAATTAATTTTCGAAATGTGAGCGCATCTAAGCTAGTCACATTAGAATGCCCACACAGAATGGTCTTCAGAGTGAAGATTTACTGGTAGAATTTTTCTAACAGAAGTCAGGCGTATTCCAAAGGGTCAGCAGAACCATCTCTCTGAAATACCGTATGCTCAACAGCTTTATTTGACTATACTACAGCATCTGCTCTAATGTGAAACCTCTTAGATTCACGGCACTTGGCATAACCCCAAGTGTTTTGCATTTCGTTAAGAGAAGTATACCGCTGGTGTTTATGAAATTGTTGTCTAACAAGTTTAGATTGCCACCTAGTATATAAGGATTTGTTACGCACTCGCATGTTTCGTACTCAGAATGGAATTCCATGAATGGTTTATTCACACCTGTGGCAATGGTGAATCCAAACTGAAATATGCATGAAGGAAATCGGTCTAATGTACACCTCTTCCTATGAGTGGAAAGCATCTGGATGACTTATGGGATTCTGCCCCTAAAGGCTCGGATTGTTTGCGTTAATTCACTGAGCAAGTTGTTAACAGAACAGTTTATCAAGTAATTTGTATTCCATTAGGTATCGAGCACTACCAAACAGGGATCTATCTGCTTTACTTTCCCGTATATCCAAATCAATGTGAAAATATATTGCACTTAAAACAAGAAACATGATTGGAATTTCCAATACTAATGTCATTGAAATTAGGGATCCGCTTTGATTCGAAGACGGAGCCATTTAAAACAAGCTACTGCAGGCTTGTAGCAACACCTGCATTCTTCATTGAATACTGAATACAGATGACTGGCGGAAAGGGTAGACGAGACAGAACTGCAGTATGCAGTGGACGAACCAATATAACCTACTGTCAGGCAAATACGCAGACGCAAATGGAGACTGACTAAAGGGTGAAATGAACTGGATCACATGGAACGGGAATGAGTTTGTGGCAAATCGTGGTTCCCAGTGGAAGAGACCGCAGAGAGCATTATGAAGTAAGGATGTGCTTTTGAGGTCTTGTCTTCCACTCAAAACACAAGGTATGAATAATGATGAAAATAATACTTGTCAGTGTCTTTCCATGAGTCAGTTTTTCCCACCGAGAGATATACTCAGTGGTCTACTAGTTTTGGAATAAAATATGAGAACAAACGAAATAAAGCTACACACCTGAGCAAAGTTATGGAAAAACGATTGTTCGGAAGTTAAAGAGGAGTTCGTGTTTTCATCAGCACCATTTGTAAAGTTTCTCGTCAGTCTTTGAAGTGTCTGAAATGAATAAATGACAGGAGGAAACATTATGTTTAGAAGTCAGTAACCGAGGCTGTATATCAACCTGTAAATTCTTAGGAGTTTTGTTTCACTACAGTAGACTACTTTATTACTTCTTTTTTGGGTGAAGCTCAAATATTTACAAAATAAAATTCAGTTACTAGAAGGTGAGTGCAAATGTCGATCCAACCGGCGTGATGGCCCATGGGTGATGAATTCAAACAGGTTTGAAACACTTTGCATTTCCCGTGGTCAGTTAGACTCTCTTGCTGTTCAAATAGATTTTGATATAATTTTAAGGTGATTTTTGTGAGCTTTGTTGATTCCAATAACGTCGTCCCATAGTATCCATTCACTTTATCACCATGATGAATAGTGAAATCGGCCCCAGAACTTATCTGATTCTGTCATCCATGGAGTCAAAACAGTCCTAGTGTTGGGTTTGTAGTTGCCGTATGAAGTATTTCCCAATAAACGTATCATTAGTTTTGAAACACTTCTAGTCATAACAATGAAATCTAATGCATCATACCTCTAACATAAATATATTAAGTAAAAGAGAAATTCTATCACTGCATTCTTGGTTGAGATATCTCATGATATTGGATGCCTTCATTTGAGCTCTATAAAATCTAGGTTGGGGAGGGTGGTTTGTTAGATTTGATTCTCGAAACATTTTCGGGACACATAACAGAAACCCGCCAAACGATCGCATTCACCTATGCCTAGACACCATAACTATTTCATTTCCTTGGGAGTCTAGGGAAGTCAACGTTCCAACAGACACAAATGTGCACTAGTATTATCCAAACTTAGCTGTCGACACTTCATGACATGGTACAATACTTCTGCTAAGCCTACAGTGTATTCGAAGTGATCTTCACCCTTCACAATTTCAGTAACCTAACAGTTTATAATTTCAGAAAGACCAGTCAAAATAAATTTCCGTAAGCAAGTGTAAGTGTTCATCAACTACCAGTATTTGGTGATAAAACCGACTAATTGTGTCTTAAAGTCGACTTAGATGACTTGATCGAAAACGATGTCTTGGCTTTTAAGGTTAGACGCCTATTTATTCAAAACAATGGAAGTCATGAGTGTGGCGATAATGCGATTGATGAGATATTGAAATGCATCTCTTAGGGCAGATCCGATATGTTAGTCTTCTGTTTAACTCAGGCTTTATTATTCCTGGTGACGACTTGAAAAGCCTCTTCACAGTCTTGTAGACACGCTGTATTCTTGACAAGTGTACCCCACTTTCAAACTAAGTAATTAATTTCTTGCGATTCATTTCAAAAAATGATCAGAATCCTAGTGGAACATTTTTCCCAACTATAGAATTTTTTTATTTATTTTACTATTTTTTCTATATAGCTTGACTCCACACCGTATTTTTGATACAAGTATGGAATTTTCAGCATGTGATATCGATAGCCCAAATTTTACGAGCCGACCGTTGATACTGAGTGTGCATCGGAAGAGGATCGAAAATCGGATCATGTGTATGGTCAGTGAGAGTTCTAACCTCTGTTTCACCGATACTGTCTACGGATTTCGCCTTCTGGAAGTCAGATTGATAAACTCCATCTGATAGTGACAAAAGTAGAAAAGGGTCTAAACATTGACAGTCAGTGTTAATGATATCAGGAGAGACATTATCATACTGTATACATTACTGATATCACGAAAGGAATACCACACTTACCTTGTATGCTATCCTCAGACCACCGTTATCTGAGAGAATCTCGTCCTGACTTCCAATTGTTGCACTCTGACAATTCAAAATAGGCATATTAGTAAATGATATGGAAGGACATCACTTTTGAATATACAAAGAAGGAGTCATTCAAGTCTACATTTTATGAATTCTGTAGTTCATACTAGTGTGTTTGACAGAGTTAAACAAGCTGAAGACTATTTGTTGTGTTCCACTGACCTCAGGTTATGCTTATCAGAGGCTGTAACACTTGGAGGTAGTTTGCATTAACACAGAATTCTACAGGACACCTGTACCATGACTTAGACGAAACACAAATGTCAATATCAAGCTCGCATAGTACAAATGAACTTTTCAGATCATTTCTATGATATACTACGTTTAAAATTGAATGATTTAGATGACTGTAGACACCATTCACGTGGTGTAAAGAAGAGGGCAGAATTAAACCGAATGATTTAGATCAATCATTGTAAAACAGTCACGAAGTTACTGAGCCCTGATCGTATCTGTGGAATAATGATTATGCAATGCTATCTCAGAAAATATCTGTAATATAGACGGATCGATTTGTTTCCGTAAAGTGAACGAAAGGGAAGATGAGAGTGAAATACTGAAGAATTTTTCTCAGTTTGAGCACACTACATTCACGAGGATTTAAACAAATTCAAGAAATGAACACTTTCAAAAGTGTTTGTGATTCTTCTAATAATAATGACCAAGGATAATCTACGCATATTCTGTTGTTCGTACAGCGTAAACAAACAAAGATAATTTGAGGAATTTCAATATTTTATTCAGCACAAGCGACAAACCTTTTCACTCGTATAATTGTAGTTTTTGTATTGTTTGCGTAGACATTCTGTTTGCTTCAAGATTGTAAGAAATTCATGATGGGATGTACTGTAAGGCCTTTGAGATCCATTCTCATCGACAAGTATACCTTAATATGTGTGAAATATAGGTAGATTTATGTTAGCTGATTTATTTTGTTCAGTAGTATAATATTAAGGTTAGCATGCTTTTATATTTCTTTGGCACTTCAAATTTGGTGTCGATTATAAGCAGCTTTGTATAGCATATTGAATGCAAGGTAATTTACAAGGCAGAATGCATCGCACGAATATTCTCTTGGAAGCGAATCTTTACTACTTTATAGCAGTGAATTTAGGTTGCTTTAGAAGTCATTCAGTGAGAAAGATTGAATCAGAATAAAACAGAAAAAATATGGACCATATCGACTGCTCGACAGCTATATGATAATGCTGCATGTCAAGTGATTCACAGTGGAGCACTCGGAGAATCCTTTGGAGTGAAGACAGGATTAGGACAAAGAAGCTGTCACCTAGTATCACCAACGATATACCTGACTGTTGTGGAATGGATTATGCTAAAGACTTCGAGCAAGGAGAGAGAAGACAAGAGGACGTTGGACTGGCAGTACGACTCTGGAAGATCTGAAAATCTCAGACGATTTATGTCTGATGTCGCGTAAATCCGAAAACTTACAGCTGAAAGCTAACAGTTTCGTGGAATAGCAATAGTAAGCACTATCGACGGAAGAAATTTGAAAGAGGTCACTTCTTTTATACAACTAGATAGCGTCATTTTAACTACAAGTCAGCAAAACGGGTGTGTCAAAACCGGTCAGAATCGGGAAGAAAAAGTACACCTTTATCACTCTAAAATCATTTTTGAAAACGTCTGCATAAACTCAGTATAAGAAACAGCACCAATATTATGTCAATCAGTGAGTTAGTCCTTTCACATTGATCAGAAACTAGCTCTGCTAGTCACGGAAGGCAATTCCATCAAGTTAGTGCAGCCTTTCATCAAAGCTGGCTTCTCTTACTCCATAATGAAGATCAGGTGGTTAGTCAGAAAGAGTTGTTGGCCTCAGGGGGGTTTGGCGACGAGACAAACAAGAAAAAATATTCTGTAACAAATGGAGATGGATTGGGCACACGCTGAGCAAACCATCAAATGCTATGTGCGGAACGCCATCGCGTGAGTTGATCGCCAACGGGAAACGATGAGATGGGCGTCGGTTCCAAGTTGATACTAGTGAGGTGGCATGAAGAGGATGTAAGAGCATCTGGGCAACCGTGGCACTAGTGAAATAGGACTGCAGAGAACGAGGTGAAATGGAAATGTGCTGTTGAAACCCTATGTTCCACTCGGAACCCAAGCAAATAATAAATATAGCAATAATGTTATTAATATCGATTAACACTTCCAATACCTCTGCCGATTAAGCTATGGTAATCATCAATAAACCACATTTGAGGCTACAATTTAATTCGACAATATGACAGTCACATCTTTCCAGTGAAGTTGAGCAACACTAAGTTACATCAATGCAGGGAACAGCTATTGAGATCTTCAAGTTTCCAGTGAAGCCTTCAGTGAACTAATTTGACTCCCTTTCAAGATATAATCAATGAAAGAACAAAGGTATATCAGTGGTTAAATCGTAAAATGCTCACCATCCACCTTTGGGATGGAAGTCCGATTCCCAGACCCTAATGCACTTTTACGCTTCGCCTAGCTGGTGGTAAGTGAGGTAGAGGAGAAAGGTTAGATGAAAGTCTAGCGACCCCACTATGTAAAGTAACTGTTTATGACAGTTCAAGGGTAATACTTGAAGTCTTGTATCAGTCTCCGAAATTAAACGAATATTCGCGAAGGGACTAAGAGAAATCGATCTGAAGGAATAGACATTTGCAGCGGTTCAACAGAAAGCCACAATTCTACAAACTTTCAAATCACCACAATGGAGATGATGATCACAATTTCACTGAAACTAGATCACGAAAACACGAGCAATTTGAATGAGGGAAACAACTTAATTTTCTCCTGTAGACTGGGATATTTTCCTTAAAACTGTCTGTCAGTTTAACACATGCCAACAGAGGTAAGTTGAAAATTTCAAAGAAAAGTCATTTTGGTTCGTTTATTACCGGATGTATCAACAGCATGCAATAATTCATGAGCTATATGCCAACCTAATCCACCATATTTTTCGTAAATAGTTTGATTATCGTGGTAAATCGGTAGATTCAGAATGGCACCATTAATCGATATGCGGTTTTCAGTGGGCGAATAGGAGGCTGTGGGTATATAGGTTAATCTTTCCGAATCCAATCTGTTCATAGAAAACAAAAATAAAATATCATCAAGTCTCATTGTGTTTTGACGAAATGACGAATACAAGAGAATTTAAGAGATAGGTAATATTTTACAAGAGTCGAATTCTCAATTAACAAATAGCATCCGCCATTTTTTTAAATTATGCAGTTGTAGACGTGATTTCACTTCACTTTTCCCTTGAAAGCGGAGTTACCCTCAGCCAGAAATTCAGGTGGCTTTGCCTTTCAGTGCTGAGTCAAATTAGGTGTACTGATGATGAGTGTGGTCCTAAACAAGCGAAACTGTCTTCAGGCGTTTAGATCACTCTGACCTCCTCAGTTGTATTCTGCAACACCTAGAGGTTTCTTGAGACTGAGCGAACACGTAAACCAATCCCAGAGTTATCTACAGAGCATATGGAAACCGTCTGAAAGAAGCACAGACTGCAGAAGCTATGACAATCCATATTTTAAATGCCCAACTTATTTGTCTCAGCACTTAATACACAGTGTTTGCTAATCCTAATTTTTTGATATTTTAGAAATTATTATTCTGTTTCTCCCTTCCCACTGATACATTCCAACTGTTCATGAAGCTGATGATAATTTGACCCTCTTTCAACTTTGGCTATTATTATTATATTAGTGTTCCTTTTGGTTCTGCGTGGAACATTAGTATTCAACAACAGATCTCCAATTTGTCCTGTTCCTACCAATCTTCTGCTGCTGGCCCCAGAATTGTCCATATTATCCCATCTCCTCCTCAGATGATTCCCTCCATCGCAAACTCAGACTCTCACCCAAAATGTTGTTTCCCATTCAGGATCCACTTGAGTGAGTGCCTAACACGCAATGTTATTCAGTGGTCTCCTCAGTGTGTACTGCATGCATCTAGATTTTCTACGTATTTGTAGAGTAGTCGATTCTTCGCCGGCTATATGATCTCCAGTATGGAGTCAAAGATGTCAGCTGTTGATTAAACTCTTTAACAGCCATGAAATCAGCGACAAGTCGACTACCTGTATAGAGTCATCAACTGGCCTAATATTGGTACTGAAAACTGGTAAGTTACTGTAGAAGATTTCGAACTCACTCGGATTGATGAAGTTGTGCTTCGCCTTTCAAATTGTGGATGGTTTCTACATACTTATCCGTGTCTCTTGCCTGTAGTTGGGAGGATGCTGTCTAGATAAGTGAAGGGAGTGTACTTGCTCAAATTTCTCCCGTTGATGCTGAATGGTGTTGTCTATCGACTATCTTCATTGCCTTAGTCTTCTCTCTGTCTAACGGACCCCTGTCTTGACGCCCTCTACTCACAGACCTTCGCATAATTCAGTTCATTACAATGAGGAATATAATTAGTGAGTTCGTTGAGAGGTCTTACTTAGCCCTGTATTTAACTGAGAGCCTTCGGTGGGTTCTCTGTTGTGAGCCACCTGACACACGGCATTGTAATGTGGCAGTTGAACGAGACTGATAAATATCTGGTGTCCTGCACGCCACAGTAATGAAGCGGTTTCTACATAGCTTCACGGTCAGTGTTTTCTGTTGAAAACCTCTTCAAATTGGATGAAGTTGAAGTTGAATGAGAGTTGACTGCCACACTATGCTCTGTTGCATGACGTCGCGTAGAGTTGCAATTTAATACTCACATGTTTTGATTCTCATAAATCCACCCTCTTTCAGTTGGATTTCCACATCCAAGGGATATTTTATCCTCTTCAGGATGAAACGACTTAGCGTTTTACTTGGCGTCGATAATTCTAGCTAAGCTGTGCTAAAACCCTTCGATTACGGTGTGTCACCCGACTTACCTATCGAATTTCATTTAGCTTTGTGACCAATGATTTCTTTATGTGCTACACAGTTTTTGTGAGAAATTTTGCAATTAGGACGATAAATCTTTGGAAACCTTCCTTTTATTCCTATTATAATGTACTATATATACTTACATATATGCGACTGTACAGCTTGAAAACGATATCGCTGGAAATGAGTGACTTTCACTGAAAGCTGCAGCTTTTATTTAGCTTAATAGAGATTTTTCAACCACAGTTATGTGTCTAAAAATACTAACAGCTTACTTTTCTTGTAGACCGAATAACGGCTTTCGATAAGTGTCGAGCACTTTTGCCTTGAGAGCGTAATATTCGTTTACAATGTATTTATTTTCACGAATTCGATCCTGTAACTGTTTCGAAAATTTAGATAAAACAATGAAATGTGAATAACTTGCACGAATGTGATTAACGAGTATTCTCAGATATCCAAGTGTATACGTTTTAGGATGGAGAGTAAGCATATACAGTGTGTCAACTGAAAATTCTGTCCTTTTCAAATTATTTAGAACTATTCCAGCGTGTTTAGGTAATTTATCATAACTCACTCTAACTGGACGATCAGATTATTCCAAGAGACCTGTAATATCTACTATCTGGGTACTTATATCTCGGTCTTAACCTACGTCGAAAGCCATGTCATTGAATTTTTATTCGTATCATACTGATTTGTTAGCAACCACTCTGGTGTACTAAACTTGTAAGTCACTGAACACGAGAAATAAAGAGATAAACAGCTGTAATTTCATATTATACTGGCCTTTTCCCGGGACCAATAGTAAATTCTGCTTTCTAAGTCTGTCTTCAGTGTTGTCTCTCAGTGGTCACTTGTTGGTGATAACCAGTGGCATTTTTAGTTCTCATCCAGTCAGTCAGTCAGTCAGGAAGAAGTGCTGTCCCATTACTCTACTTCATGAAATTGAGAAAACTACTGGACAATTTGCATACTTCATTTCACGGTTTTGGTTGAATCTAATCATGAAACAAGTTTCACCTAATCATCTTAATGCGTACTGAGCAAAATCTATCTTGCATAATGCAAAAGAAGGCAGTTGAGGTAGCTAGAGGGGAAATCAGTTTTGTTTGTGTATATTAACTAGGCGAGGAGCCTGTACACATGGCGTATAATTAATTAGCAGTTGATATATTCAGTTTCATGGGAATTAACAATTACACCTTCAGCTAGACACTCATTTCTTCATAGTTATTCGAAAATTTCAAGTACACCTGCTTTATTCCATCACAGATCGTAAGTATGTTAGCCACATGATTGTTAGTTCGGAGAAACAGTGGTCTATGAGAATTTCGAACTGTACCCAAATAATTCATGTTACACTCAATATATCAAATAGTTTACGAATAAGATAAACTCCATCATTGGTTAAATATTCCTCCTTGAAATTGGTGTTCCACTTAGAGCTGATTATTGGGAATAGCTCATGTTTTATTGAAATGCGATAGAAAAGAAAATCAACCGCCTTGTCTGACTTACTCGATATATAGTAGAAAGGTTTTCTTTCTCTTCATATGTTTCCATACCATCGAACAAAGCGAAAGTTTTTATCTTCGAAATCTGTAGGTTTTATTGTTTTAAAATTATTTAATACAATTTCAGTCAAATGAATTCAAACCTTGTCAGTTGCGAAGCGCTTCATTTCGTCACTCAACCATGCCAGCTCTTCAATTGAATCATTTAAAGTCTTCTTGATTTCGTCAACCATATTGAGCACCTGTGTTTTCAGATGAGAAAGAAAGTGTTATTAGGGTAGCATACGAATTGGATCTTTTCTTAATTAGGAATGAGCAATGAATAATAATCTAATTGTGCATCGGTGGCTCACTCATGAAATGCTCGCCACTTACCCACGAGATCCAGAGTTCGATCGATTGCTGGCGCACTCCAGTAGTAGGCCTCATGAAGAGGGAATTTCGGGGGTAAGGCGAGCAAACTCACCTCGGAAATGCACACTACCACTACTACTACGTGAACTTCAAGACTCAAACTTGAAGCCCTATGTTCCACCGGAAACCCAAAGGAAATAAAAAATAATAATAATTATTTCTATAGTCTAGAAATAATGTCAATAAACCTTTTGGTAAGAAATTTCGAGAGGCTGAAAGATGTTTAGCTCATTCCAATGACCAAAATCCAACGTATTATAAAATTCACAGATGCGTGTTCTACAGTCACACTCACTCACATCATCAATGTCACTGCTCAGCATAGATTAACAATTAATGTTCAAGACAAAACGCAACCTTGATAGTAATAAATGAATACACTTCTTCAAATCTAAATAATTTTGAAGGAACTTCTATATTTCCCTATTCTATGGATCCTTCCAAGGTGGTTGTAAGCTGAAGGTAGACTGATGGTATTCAGATAAAATATGGTGAGAAGCGATTACTACACAGAGTACAAATAATGAAGGCATTTTTGTTACTGAGATGTGAGAATACTGTTTATCAGTTAGGAGGAAGGAGAGAAAAAACAAATGTTTGTGTACTTCTCGATAAAAAGACTTCAACATTGTGATGAAGAATGCTGTGAAACAGTAGAATTCATAATCATATAAATACGATTGATTTCTTCAGTCATTCATGCTTGATGAAACATAGTTTGCCCAGTTAAAGAAGTTTCACATATGCTGAGCTCTTTGGGTCGTTTAGTAACAAACGCACTAACATAAAATTTGTATTTTTTTCGCGTAGTGTATTTTAGAAATCCTCAAGAGGAAATGTAGATGTGCACACTACGAATGGCGACTTCATATTAAGTGAATATCTACGATATGACAAGTCAGTTAAAGCTCAGTTTACCACTGTCATATAGCTCTTAGTTTCAAACATTCCAACTGTGAAGGAGGCAGTCTGACGGCCGGGTAACGAAAGAAGACTATGAGAAGTGTTGAATAGGAGCGAACCTCCTAAAGGATAGACTGACAGTCGTATGGTTACTGTGAAACAAAGAAACAGTTTCTTAGATTCAAATAACGAAGTCACTTGTTGAAAATATCTTCAGGTTACCTGATTAGACTCAGCATTTATAGACAGCTTCGGCCACTTCTATTTCTTCCTCTTTAAAAGCAATCCAAGACTGTCTCATACATTGCCCTGGAAAACCTTTTTTGTCGTCTTTTCTTATCCATGCATACGTGAAATCGATCCATATGAATCCTTATGCATGAGAGATATCAGCTAGTATTAAATCTTAATTTTTTAACACCCATATGGTTCATCACTGTGAGCATCCTTTTTCGTTTCTTAATGGTGTTATCAACCTGCTTGTGTATAACCGTCCATCTTCGTTCTATTCAGAATATTTGTGGAGCAACAGGTTCTTGGTTGGTTCATTCCCAAACTTCCTTGACGATAATTATTTCTAGCCGGCTCTCTGATCGACAATATGGAACCAGAGAAGGCAGGTGTTGATGAAAGTCTGCAGTAAACTGTTAGATATTCCTTCCGTGACTCGCAGAGCAAGTTTCTGATCCAATTAGAATAAGTGACTTCCTGACTGACACAACATTGGTGTTGAAAATATGAATATCGTCTTTCATGCTGTGGAGTGCAGAAGATTTCTAAGCTGATTTCATATTGATGAATTTGTGCTTCACCTTTTCACTTCTTGCTCTGAGATCCGCCTCTCGGTGAGGCAATGCTTCGCAGACACGTGAAGGCAGTGAACTCCCTCAAATTTCTCTCGTTGTTAGTGATTAGTGCTTGTTGCTGTTGTTTGATTATATTCTTCGATTTCGCCTTCTCTTGATACTACTTCTGCCAGTTAATTGATTTTCTCCTGTACCTCTTCTAATTCGTTTGACATTAGACAAAAGTCATCCAAGATGTTCTGATCATTATATCAGCTCAAAGTGTGCTTGTCTTCTAGCTCTTTTGCTCACTGACTGCTGTACAATCCAGTCAGCCAAATTTGGAGATATAACCGGTTATAGTATTTAGCTTTATCTTTATACAATCTTCACTTTGCAGCCTTCGATGAATTTTCCACCAGCGATTACTTGACACGTGAGATTAAATAAATAAAGAGGGTAAAGTGGACACAGTAAACTTATTTCTCCTAATACTTATGGACAGAAAAGGCCTCATTTTCACCTACCTGTTATAAGTACTGGCTATCATGATGCTTTTCATTAGGTGGGAAAATAATTTCGAAAGCGCTGGCTTATATAGAGATACAAAAAGCAATGAAAAATGAATTACAGAACCAACCTCATTTCGCTGACTTTCTTTTAAGTACTGAGCAACGTAATGTCTTTCAAGAGTCCATGGAAATATATCTCTCAATCGTTTGATACAAAACGCCGAGAATTTCGGCCTCAGCTCTAATCAGAATAAACAAGACACAGAAATGTTTCAGCATATACATCAAATTGAAACATGTTAGGCAAATGATTTTTAACGAACAAGTTAGTAAGATATCACACGTACACCATGGACTTCTACCACAATATGTATCATGAAGAATAATGAACACAGATCAATCTTGAAGTAAATCGATTCCCCACATAAAACGCAATTTACTTCACTTATCATCAAATAAAAACGATAGTCGTAACGTACGTGAGTCCATCTCGGCATTTGCACTTTCTGAACTTTCCACCTCAAAATCAATAGTGTTAGCCTGATATGCCATGAAGTCCATGATAGCCATATTCTGAATTGTACTGTCGAAAGGGAATAAAAGTAAATATTGTGATTCAGTTTCAGCTGTAAACCTTTTATGAGTATTGCACATAACTTCAAATATCGTATGCTTCTCTATTTGAACAGTGGAAAAGTAGGTGATGAAGTCAAGAATATCTCGACTTGTCAGTGTGGGGGATGGAAACTAGTCGAACATCCTGGAATAATACAGAAGATATCAAGTCGAAATGATTTTGTGGAGTCGTATTTATCTGTGTGTCATTCATGGGGGTTAATATTCCGTGGTTATACAGTATATTTGTGAACAAAATACATTTTAAAATTAAAGCGTTTGCTGTACAAAATGAAGCCAGCACAGTCTTCGGAGAAAAGTCAATTGTGAAATTTACAGTCGAGGAATAGAACAAACCTTATTGGAAATATCTGGTATTCAAACTCATGTTACTTAGAAAATTTCAATGTAAATAATGAAAAGCCTGTAAAATTGAAAATTCAAATATTCAGAGTTTGCTTGCAGAAATCATTCAACAAACTAGTCCATCAGATCGGTTGTGATAACAAATACTCTTCCATAGCATCTACTCATGTCAATTGCACTAAAAACACGAAATGGTAGAAGAAACGATTTCTTAAATTCAAATAACGAAGTCACTTGTTGAACAAATCTTCAGGCGACCTGATTAGACTGTGAGTCGGTGGTACAGTGGTTAGAACTCTCGCCGACCATGCACATGGTCCGAGGTTCGATCCCCTGCCGACTCACACCTGATAGCAATGGTCGGTCTGCAAAATTTGGGCTACTGATATCACATGCTGAAAATTGCATACTTGTACCAAAAATACAGTGTGCAATCAAGCTGTAATCAAAAATAAAATAAAAAATAAAATTCCCATTCAGTCATAGAAAAGAAAAGGTGTTCAGCAAAGAGTTACTCTTTTCGGCGATATCATTCTCAAGCTGTACAAATCGCAAATTTATAGTAATTTGTCTTGGCAACAAAAGGAATATTTCCAAAGATGTGTTAATGCAATTGTTAATTTTTGACAAACAAATTACGTAATTTTGAAGGCGTTAATCGGTTAGAAACTAAAATAAAGTTACAAAAGTAGGTTGGGTGACGTAATCTAATTGATAGGGTTCAATGAAAAAATGAATGAGAGTCAAGTTAATAATCTGAGTAGAATTCACTTGAAAATGAATGAGAGTTAAGTTAATAAGCTGAGTAGAATTCACTTAAAAATAAACGAAAATCGAGTTAGCAACAGTCGTCATGAGCGTAGAGATTTAATAGAGGGTGGGGGTAGAAAATAATGCAATTAAGAAATAGACAAACAAAGAAGAAAGAGGTAAGACAAAATTACGTATTTGGTGTTAAGATAGATCAGGACCATTGTAGATTTAGTGACTGAACAAACTTCTTTTGTATGCAGAGTTCAGGATTCAATATGTGAATTGCCATTGCTTCTGCAGTTTGAAGAAGTTTAATTCGTACTCTTTTGGCAAGATTCCCACGTATTGTGTAGATAACTGAGAAGTTGTTTTGTGGGTTTGCTTGGTGTCCGGATTCGATCAAGTGTTCTAGGATAGAGCTGTGGCGGGGGGATCTTCTTTCTCCTTTATAAAACCATGAAGGTAAGTGTTCGCTGATTCGTTTGGATAGCAAACGCTGGGTACGGCCGACATACCTAGCTCCACATGAGCAGGTGAATTGGTAGATGCACATTGATGAGGCCCCCAGTGGAAGCTTATCCTTCACGTTCGTGCGAATCATTGGTTTCGTAGAGAAAGTTAGTCTGAGTTCCGCTGCGAAGAAGGTTTTCTTCAGTGAACGGCACAGGCGGTTTCTCAGTATTTCTGCTGAAGAATCTCCGTTGAATTGTAGATTCAAATAGAGAAGTTTCTTGGGAGCAGTAAGCATGGATGGTTTTTGTGTTTTGGGCTTCATAGCTTTTGTGATGAAACGTTCCGGGTAACCGTTTTCAAGAAGGATTCTTTTCAGGGTCTTCAGCTCTTCTTCTATAGTTTCCGGACTGCAAATGTTGTGGATTCTGTGAGTCAGTGAGCGGATCAGATTTCGTTTTGTATATATAGGCACCCAACTGTGAAAGCTGATGAGTTGTCCATTCCATGTCGGTTTTCTGTGAATGGATCTTTTGAGTGTCCCATCTTGTTCGCGTCTTGCTAGTTGCACGTCCAGAAAAGATATTGTTGCGTTGGACTCCTTCTCTAGTGTGAACTGGATTGCTGGATGGCAACTGTTGAAGAAGTCCAATATGTTCTCCAAATTTTCCTCATTATTGGCGATAATAAAAGTATCGTCCACGTATCTCTTGTAGAATCCGAAGTTATCTATTATCTTCTTTAGGTGTGTATTTTCTAGTTTTGACATGAAAATATCTGCAAGCAGCGGGCCGAGTGGTGAGCCCATAGCTATACCATCTTTTTGTCTATATATTTCATTATTGAAAGTGAATTGGACGTTTAGAGTACATCTTAATAGGAGTTCCTTCAAATAGTCAGTGGGTATACCAATGTTCATCTCCTTTGAATCAATATATTCACATATATAGCATATTGTTTCGGTTAGTGGGACGTTTGTAAACAGTGATACCACATCTAGTGAGAACATGGTTTGATTGGAAACGCTGACGTTTTCAATGGAATTGACAAAATCGAAGGAGTCTCGAAGTGAGTGGCGGGAGATTTGCTTTCTGACTGGTTCTAGTATGTTTACTAGCCATTGTGCGGTACTGTGATAAGGTGAATTAGTCATATCGAGAATGGGTCGAAGAGGTACGTTTTTCTTGTGCACTTTTGGTAGTCCATATAGCCGGGGTATATTTGAGCCCGACGGTTTCAACGATTCGAAGGTTTCGAGATCGATGAATGATTCAGTCTTTAGTTTTCGGAGAAGGTTCGTTAGTTTTTGTTCAGTTTGTTCCGTCATGTTCTTTTCCTTTGCTGGTTTTATGAATTTAGATTCGTCGGATAGGATGGTCAGCATTTTACTTACGTAGTCTTCACGATTCATGACTACGATTCCCCCACCTTTATCCGGGCGTAACAGAATAATCTCTTTGTTGTTTATTAATTCCTTGAGCTCTTTATAGTGTTTTTTGGTCAGTATTGACTTTCCATTTGGTTTGGTATTCATAAATTTATGGCAACTGTCGAGTACTACCGACCTGAACTGTTGCAGGTTCTCTTCGGAAGTTGGTGATAGATCATATGTTTGGTTTATCAGGTTTTCGAACTGGACTTGGGATTGAAGTTTTTGGATTTTTGATGGTTTTGTGCAGAACTTTGGACCGAGGGACAGTGCTTCTAGTTGAAGTTCTGACAGCTCAATGTTTGACAGGTTAAATACGTATTTTTTTGGATTGCTTGGGAATGGACGTTCAGGGTCGCTCGTCGGCTTCAGGCTTTTAATAAGGTTTGACTTGGCATTCTCACATTGTTTCTGTGCAACTTCTTCGACATATTCTTCGAACGATTGGCGTAGTTCTTGGTCTAAATCGTGGACTGCGTGAGCTCGTAAGTCAACATTTCGTTCTAGTTCAGGGATGCGTGATTGGATGGAGTCAATGTTGTTTAGTGTGTGTCGTTTAGTGTGTGTTTAGTGTAGTTCATTGAACCCTATCAATTAGATTACGTCACCCAACCTACTTTTGTAACTTTATTTTAGTTTCTAACCGATTAACGCCTTCTAAATTACGTAATTTGTTTGTCAAAAATTAACAATTGCATTAACACATCTTTGGAAATATTCCTTTTGTTGCCAAGGGAAATTACTATAAATTTGTGATTTGTACAGCTTGAGAATGATATCGCCGAAAAGAGTAACTCTTTGCTGAACACCTTTTCTTTTCCATAAAAAATGAAAGTTGGAATTCATTGGCTGGCTACTGATTCGGTTCGCAGTGGCTGAATTTTCTACGAGCTTAGCTTGTACCCAGAAGGTTCTGAGATTGAACCCTATCAGTGGGTACACACTGCTGAGTAGTCCTAAACAAGGGTGAAACATCTGTCCAATAAGTTCAGATTTTCTACGTTTCTCTAAGTGATATAAATCCATGAGTCCACTTTATCAGGAAAATATCGACCGTTTTCAGACTAAAAAAAAAACACATTTTAACGCACTTTATAGTAAGTGAAGAAGTCGCACTATATCCAGTGAAGCATGTTTCAACAAAATATTTCTTCAGTTCCATTCAGTGAAAGTAATGTGAAACTTACCTTTTACCAGTAGGCGTTGACAGTTCAATTTCATGTAAGGCACACTGATGTTGCAGCGCTGTTGTGTCCGCAATACTTATTGAGAATGATCTGTAATGTTCGAATCCAATTTGTCGAAACAATTTTGCAAACAACTGATCCCAATCCATCTTAACATGAATGTAGCAAAACACAAACGATTAATAAATTCGGCAGATTTAACGAAAGTGATGTGAATTTTACAGACGACTATCGAATATAATTATTTAAGTGTTGGGTTTTACGGATGTGGTTGGTTACAGGAATCACCATGAGCTGACATTAGTTAGAGAACCACTGGAAAACCTGGGAGTACTGGAAAACTGTTTCGTCTTAGGTTGGCACCGTTCAGCAGTAAGCAACCACAGCCAGGGTTCGAACCCAGGACCTTCTGGTTACAGGGAGAACTCGTATACCATCAAGCTACTGGGACCCGATCCAGTGGCCCATGAATTCTAACTTCTACCAATTCACGACATAGTGTGACCCCTAGTCAATGTCTTAGGCACGTATTTGTCCTCATACCCGACCTGCTACACCCTACTGGTCACGACTTCTCACTAGAATCCCAGTTAATTACTTACCTGAATAAGGCAAGCCGCTAGTGAGTTACACAATGAAACTTCAAGGAGGGTATCTACAGCCTAAGAATAATTACTAAGTAGATAGTTCATTTTGTTTCATTACTAGACTAGGGTGCTGGACCGATGGTGTTCTGGGAAATATTCAAAGAATACAGTGTACAAAAACAGACGATTTCTGAGTTAAAATTCCTCTAAACAGTTTTCCTTATCATTTTAAACAAGAAATATGATGCTGCGAGATTAGAGAAACAACTATGCAGAGTTTGTCAGATCGCAAAATTTCGTTCTACTGGTCTAGATTTTGCAGATTCATTTCTCTTTTACTCTCAAACAATTTTATCTTCACAGCTGACTGAAAGTCTCCTACCCATCATCATCATTCATCAACTATGTGACTACTAAATGCAGGACATTTTTGACTGATTACATTATGCATTCTGTCCTAACACTGACTTATCTTTTTCCAATTCTCAATGGGGATTATTTCAATTTCTTCCACTGAAGGCACCGCATGTTGTCTGAAGTCATTTGAAATATTGGAACGTGTTTAGATGAGCTGGAATTCCTCTAAGTCGCATAATCTTCAATCTCCAAATCAAAACAATATCACCTAATCGACACGGTCAAATGCACAAGTAAATAAAGAAAACGAAAGCACAAGATGTCAGATACCGTTGACCGATGTAAGTAGCCTGACACCCCTGACACATGTCATCCAACATTGCTGGCCAGTCTATTTGATGTTCATAATTCCCTTAGAACTAGATAGTCAGCAATGATAGTTGACCCGAATTCGAATAAATCAGAAATTTCTCCAGTTGGAGTACTTCATCGCTTTGCATGCTTCATATGGATCCTGACCTGAATCACGTAAATTTCATATACATAAATGGAACTATCTTCGTTCACTATTCACTCAGTTAAATTTCATATCCACATTCACAAAAGTAAAATTATCTGATGCTAAAAGCTCATACAGTTTGTATAATGAATGCCTCGTTACACATTTTCAGACACTTAATCTCTTGTAAGACAGACTCAGAAATTCACCATTTTTATTTCAATATTTCTATCTATAAATGACCTCAACCGTGACATTCCTACCTAATGAGTTGGCATTGTGAAGTATTGAAAAATCAAAGTATGTACATTGAAATGTGCGGTTAGGACGCTCGTCAACCATGCACATGGTCCAGGGTTCGGTCCCCGGCCACCGAAGTACTCCTTTACCTCGCTAAGCCCGAAATAATGCTGGTAAAGAGAAAAAGTTGGGCATGAGGCATGCTAGCAACCCCATCCTGCAAAAATAATCACCACTGCTACATAATCTTCAAGCCACTAGCTTGAGGTCCTATGTACATTGTACATTGAAATTTACGAAATGTATAAATTGGCTGTACCTACTTACCAATGGACAGATTGACTTCAATTCATTCATTGTAACCTCTTTATGATAATCAGTAAGGTCAGATTTCTTTGAAAAATACAGATTCTGGAAAGTAATCAGAAATATTCATTAAATTAAATCATGTTTCCTTGATAGAAGAATGAACAACTTAGCCATGAAGGCGACGAAACGCAACCTCTTACTTCACTATCATTTCAGAATAGGTATGCAAACAGATTTTGAGAAGATCCTACCACATCACGGTGTTTTATGTTGTTTACAATGCGCTTCAACATTTCAGTAGTATTTTATGTGATTCACAATGGTTGAATACTCTTCGTTTTCAGCATTCATGGAATAAATGCAATGATCGATTCAGCTATTGCATGCTGATTTTCTGTTACAATCCATTCGAATGTTCAGTGATAATAACTCCCTTCACTATCCTTGTTGTGGATACAGTCATTCTAAGACTAGAGTTTGTTGGCATTAACGCTTCCCCAGTAATAAGAGTATCACAATGTAAATAAATTCAATTTTGTTTTATTTAAGAGGTGTAATGATAAAATGTGTCATGATGAAGCTATCGCATTTTTTTCAAAAAGAATATGGCCATACAATGACTCTATTCAAACGCAATTCTCCTTTCCACTTAAGAAATTCAGGTGTCTGTTTGTTTCCCGACACAACAAATTTCAAATGGAACTTATCGAAAATATCATGAGCTTACTTAGTGAATGATAAAAAATCGACTCTCATGTTTGTTGACACGTACAACGTTCTATCTCAAATCCTGATCAGTGATAATGCACATTTATGTCGTATAACTTAGTCTAGTGGTCAGATTGCACAGAATACTGATAGTCTTCAATCAGCGCGCTCAAGAATAAATAGAAAATTCGATTAACGATTTGTTTTGCTTCACAGTGGGTTCAGATACTCATCACACTACTGTTGTTGAGCTAAACAACTTGCATTTTAATCGAGTATACATACGTATATACTACCAAATGAAATTCACATTCCATAGCTATGTTAAAGTTCCAAGATTAACGGAAAACTTACACGGCACAAGCGTGTGTGCAATTCAAAAGCAGCTTTCAACTTGCTCTTTTCGGTTGGAGATACTCCCAGTTTATATGCATATTCGTAATACTTTGGAGCAATATTTGCAGCATCCACCTGTTTAAAGAAAACACGATGACTTAAAATATTCATGAATTCTTATACAATGCGAAATCAAAGATATCTGTCTCATGAAAAAAACATCAAACAAGACTATTCTCACGTCATTTCAGAGCATTTTCCTAAGAGACACACAGAAAAGCTAGTTGACAAACCAACTCTTGGATGTTACATAACGTGCGTGACACTTCAAAATATGTATTTTGCTGATATTTCATACTTTAATGAGTAGAAGTGGTTATATCTGAAGGAGGCCTGTTTAAATCATTGAACTAGCAAAATTTACTATCCATCATGAATTGTACTCACTCCGTTTCTTATTGTTTTACTCATCCTGTTGTCTCAAAGAGTTGAAGTCTATACTTATGTATAATTTCAAGCAAGTTCCTGCCAATAGCTGGGGATGTTTTGTAGGAAATGAGGGAATTACATCATGGATTCGTACCAGAGTATGCTTCGCGTGGAACGATAGTGCTTCAGATGACATATTATCGGTTATTGTATTATTTGAAGATTATGCACAAGGAATGAATATCTTGCTATAAAATGTGTTGAGGAATCTGTATTGTGTCTAAGTGGACTTTTCACAATGAAGCTATCACTGTTGCCATTGTATGGTATTCATCATTATAGTCAAATGAACTCATGGTTTCCCAAGCAAAAAATAGACTGAATTTAGTGAAATTTTAATTCAGTCTCTTCTGCATGCACAGTTACATTTATGATATATGTGTATGATGAGTCAGCAGATTTCACTGATTTTAAAGATACATGATTAATTGCATGGAGGATTTAATCATGAGCTGACATCAGTTAGAGAACCACCGGAAAACCAGGGAGTACTGAACAGCTGTTTCGTCCTAGTTTAGGACTCTTCATCAGTACGCACCCACCGGATTCGAACCCAGGACCTTCTGCTGAAGATTCCCAAACTAGGACGAAACAGATGTCCAGTACTCCCTGGTTTTCCAGTGGTTCTCTAACTGATGTCAGCTCATGATTAAATCCTCCATGCAATCAAACTAAATCCCTACAAAAGCAATACATGATTAAGTCGGTAATTCTGGAAATTTGATATGTGCATCAATTGAAGTGAGAGTATGTACCTCTTCAAACAATGAGTACTTTGACATGTGCAACTGAGTGAACTAAGTGGATTAAAATTTCAAGAGTCCCCTTCATTGACAAATTTACTTCAATGGCTTTTTTCATTTCAAATTTGTAATCACATTGGCAGACCAGATTAATTTAGAGAAATTAACATTCGACTTGAAATCGAGTATGAATTCACTCGTGATAAAAGGCTTCATTTCGTCGACTTTCGCTGTTGTAGCGACTTCACCAGTGTGAATGATATAATATTTTATTTCACTGTTTCTGATTAAACTTGGATATTATCGCGTGATTCATCTGAAGTAAGGCAGCTTAAATTCCTGTTGACTGACTCAGACATCACCGGAATTCTGTGAGGAATTTGAAATCTGCTGTTTTCAGAATTTTATGAAATATTCGAGAGCAATCAGTGTTAAACTTTAGAAATGCCCATGTCACAAGATGATCAGTCATTCCATACCCCTGCTGGAGGTTTCTTTGACGTGTGATCTCAAGTCATCTAGTGTAAGTCAAGTCAACCAGTGTTACCGAAGTAATTTAAACATCATTTTAAACACAGTCAGTAGGTGAAAGTGACTAAAGAGTGGATTTCAACTAAAAGTTGTCACAAAGTGTTTTATTTGCAACGGACCAGTCATTCAGACTGATTGATCCATTAATATTGTTTAACTATTATTCATTGCACAAAATTGTTATTCTCCTGCCTATTTGGTTAGCATTGATTGAATTAATGAAAATTTTTTGGGAAATTACCTCTGTTTCACAAGCGTCCTTATACGAAGCGAATTTTCCATCTGAAATCTAAAGCAATTAGGAATTTAGAGGATATCCATTTTCGCAACTGCTATTTCATGCATCAGAATTAAGTAAACCGATAATAGTAACTAACATGTAGGAAAGAAAAAAAATTTCTTTAGGCACTTCAAGTGTCTAACACTGACTATCGTTTTTCTGAAAGTTGTTCCTATGCCCGGCCTCTCCTTGACTTCATTGACTCACTGCTGAAACACTTTTCGTCTTCTGAAGGGTGATAACTTTGTTTTCTGAAGATGTTTATGGACTCATTGAATGACGAGATCCAGAGCTTTTGAATTTCCTTACCTGAACAGAGGTTGATCCACCTGTTCAATTATACAGTAATTGACATTTATGCACACCTTTGTATATATGAAGTACTAAATATTTCCAAAACGTCTCTATGGATTGTGGTAACAATTCTCAGACAAATCAATTTCTATAGACTTTGTTTCGTTTAGATTTTGACATTCTGTGTATAAGGTAAACAAATGTAAGTTCTCAGTGCTGTTTATGGATTTTAATGTCTCCTGTCAGTTGACATCATGCCATCTTTGCAAATACGTAACCGATTTCTATGTTCCTTGAAGAGAAACCGATGAATTAAACGATGACTCTAGCTTACCCCTAACAAGAAGTTGTTGTTGTTTAATTCGAAGTCAGCCTATTTAATCCGAACCTAATGTTCAGTTTAGTCAATTATTATTATATCCTTTAATTCCTAGAGGGACATAGGGCTTCAGCTGCGTGTCTCCATTGCCTTGCCTTTTCTGCCAACTTTTTCATCCCGCTCCAAGTCTGCCCACATGCTTTCATCTCCTCTTCACATCACCTCCTCCAAGTCACCCTTGCACTGATGACCAACTCGCCGCTTCCCATTCAGTCGGGCTCCACTCGAGCAATGGCTTGTTTAGTGATGTCACTTGATGGTTTCCTCAGTGCATGGCCAGCCAATCAATCTCCATTTCTTCCTGCCTATTTGTTTCACAATCGGTTCCTGCTGGGTTGGAACGCTCATTGTCAGAGGTCCCTCCCTGTTCCTGATCTTTTCTGGCCAGCCATCTTATACCGAGTATTGAGCGAAGACAACTGTTAATGAAGGTCTGAAGTTTGTTTGAGATGCTCTTTATGACGCGCTGGCCAAGTCTCTGATCCACCTGGTGAGTAGCACTGACTCACTTCACATTGGAGTTGAAAATTCGGATCTTATTTTCATTTCCATGCTGAGTGCTGTTGACCTCCTGGACACAGACTTCAGAGTAATGAAAGCTTGTCTTGCTTTTCCGATCCGCGCTTTGATATTCTCGTCATTTCCTGGCGCCTGTAGTCGAAACGATGTTTCCCAGGTAGGAGTGTAGGTGAAGGAGGTTGTTTCTTTCAGGTTCCTCCCATTTATGCTGGCTGATTGTTGTCTGTTGTTGTTGTTGCTGTTGCTGTTGGTGTTGGCCAGGAATCTTCATCACCTCTGTTTTATCTATGTTCACTTGAAGTCCTATCTTTGTTTACTGAATAAAACTGATGAAATCACACTCCCAGTCACCATTTCTTCTTGAATGTAATTCACTATCAATTTTATTCAACAGAGGAAACGTAGACACCAAGAGTGAGAGATCTTTGTCCGTATATGGAATGCACAAGAAGTTTCCCTTAGTTAGAATAGAGAATTCTGCATAGAAAGATATTGTGTTATGTGATGACTTTTTATTGATTACCATCAGCCCTACTCTACAGACGTCTGATAATACATTGCTACAGCACTGGAATGTGAAGATTCTTCTGAAAGCCTTCGGTATTCCTTAATCTGCAGTACTTTCTTATATCCTTACAATCAGCAATAGCTGCAGAATTATTCTGTGTGCCGTTGTGCACCGTAATAAAGCAGGAGAAAAAAAGCTTTGAATTGACAATTAGATTAAATTTGCACTCCATGTCAAGTTGATGTATCATGTCTAACAAGTGATAATTATAAAGCTTGCTTACCTGAATCTCTAGGTTTTCCACGCTAATATCAATGGAAAATAAAGGACAACCTCCTGTTATGCTCAGACTTGGATAGTAAATATCATTTAAGCTGAAATCGTCAACTTCTTGTTCTGGCGTTACTGTTTCCGATAGATGTTGAGAAGAAGACGGCAACAAATCCCATCCACCAAATGATTTTCTTATCAAATGAATTGCCTGTCTTCTAGTCTGCTGAAGAGTTCTATTTCCATGGTCCACACAGGATTTGTAGAATTTACGAACAGTAGTTAGCCGAGTATCGTTCGTGGAATACGATCCATTCGCTATGTGGTAATATGAAGCAAGAAACCACATCAGTGTGTAATTGATATCAGTTTACAAAACAGTTTGAAACTGTTAAACAAATCACACGCATACACTTCATCGCATGACTACAGTGACTTCAGCCGAGGACATGCAAACACCTACACGAATTTACTAGTGAAACTACTACTATAAAAGGATTCACATATTCCAAATGGATTTGAATTATTGATCACACTGATCAATTTCGTGTGCAAAGTCGTATAAAGCATTTTGAAGAAATCATCAAAGCTCTACGTAAACAAAGAGCGTATTTTCCAATTACCATGGTGGATAGATAGTATTTGCATAATTGACGGCATCTGACAATGAGAGTAAATAGAATTTCATTTTTCAACGTGTTTCTCACTTGCTCTGTCTAAACAGAGACATATGTGAAGGGGGATACTTCACAAAATTCACTTAATAGTCAAATTGTTCGTTACAACAAGTGTTGAAATCGATTCCATTATTCACTATGTAGCTCCATTTATTTTATCGAATGCAGACAATTATTATTGAATTGATGAAATCAGCAGAAACATTTTCATAAAACTAAATACTACCGACTGTCAACCAATGGTGACTGCTAGCCAAATCGAAGTGATCAGAGCAATGGGCAGTAATCTTGCTCATTTGGGGCCGAAATAATTAGCAGGTTACGAGTCTGAATTAGGGCATTACGAGTTTGCTCATGTCGCTCTCCAGTAATCAGTTGGTTTGAACTGACACGGCTCTCTGAGCTGAGTGAAACTGGGTACACCAATTTTGAGCTCGTTCTCAAACGAATGATACTGTCATCCGGCATTTGCATCATCTCGATCTGGCATGGCTAGCAAACAATACTGGTTGGTGTGAGTAGTATACACCTACTCATCTCAATAAATGATTAGTGTGTAGTTGATTCTACATATTTATGCTTACTTTCTTGATTACAGCTCGTAGTATGAAGCATATCACATACTGTGATCTGGAAGACATTTGATGTCCAGTGGGGAATTCGGTCTCGTCTACCGACACTTTATGGAATACTTCAAATCACTTTGACTAATTTTCTTGTCCACAGATGCTGATGGGTTAATACATGGTGTATATAAAACACCTCAACTGAAATCCTGTCATAATGTGATGTGAGGAATTTATTTCTGCTGATTTAAACTAACAAAGTTGTTAGACGTCAGATTGAAACAAAATCCTCTGTGGTAGGTTAATTCGGCAGAAACTTATTCTTCATATAGACATCATTACAGTTGTGATACGATATTGAAAAGTTGACGTGAGCACACAAACTATGCTCAGATAATCAGTTAATTCATAAAGATATTACTTCTTCTGTTGGAAGAAGAAGCGTATTTTGATGTATGCTCATCAAAATCATTTAACACACATATCAACACACTCTACTGAAGATTAGATGACCCTTCAGAAGGGATTAGAAACAACGAACTCTGGCAGCCGATGAACCAACAAAGAACCTGTCAGCGAACTAATGTGCGAAAGAAAATGAATATGCACTGGCTGCACTGCTTATGGCGATGTTCGAGTATAATAGTACTCCAAAAAGGCCCTCGATTGTAACATGTTTATGGAAAGGTGAGTTGAGCGTTGATTGATAAAAAGACATGGATGTGATCGTCTGATGAGCAGATGAAAGCTTATGGTTACTCGTGTAGCCAGTTGAAAAATATTGCAGAGAAAAGGGTTAGATGTATATGTACTAGTGAAACCCGATACTCTCCTCGGAACCCATGAGATTAATAATATAATCATTGTGAGTTCATTATGAAATATATCTTTCTTACCAATTATTTTCCAGATGTCATGAAGTGTATTATTTTGGATTTGCAATATGCTCGTGATGCTCAACTCGCCTTCTGGAACAGCATGATTATTTTTCCAATCAGAGCAAGCATATTGATAGAAGTCATTACATGGGTCAATCAGTGAAACGGCATTCGTACGATTATAACTCTGTCTCACAGAAATGGCTACAAGGGAGAAATATTCACACTAGCATGAGATTAAAAGCGGGAATACAAACAAAAATAAAGGAGAGCAGAGAAGAAATCAATTATGGACCAATAAGTGAACACAGAAAACCAGAAAACTCCCGAAGTTGTATCAGTTGGTGTCATCCATCGATGGGCCGACATACTTGTTGATTATTGGTTCACACTTGCATTCTCACCATATCCAAAAAGCGCACAACTGAAACCTATCACAACTGAATTTACTCCTTCCATGGTGTATACACTAAACAATAACTGACAATCGATTCAGTCATCACCTCACAGAGAATGTTTCACAACACACGCATTGAAATCTCATCATCTATGAAAAGATGCTTCAGGCAGTCCAAGTGCACAGGTCAGGTATACACTCGGAAGACTTCCGCCCACTTCGGAGTGAATGGCTGATTTTTCTCATCAATGCCAAAGACCATGACGCGACTGGCATCACACATCACATCAAGCTAAAATCTGCTGGAGATCAGTGGGTATCAATCATACACGTGATACTTCATCACGAAAGTGACAGTAAATACAAATTTAAGTAAACTGATTTGTTCATGATGAGTCAATCGATGTGCTGTTTTCTTGTCATGAATAAACTGATAAATGAGAAAAGTGATAGTGATAATGGAAGAAGTAGTTTTATTTCAGTCAACAGTTTCTGATAATTTAATTTCTGTGTGTCTTCGTCGCCTTTCTGAATTTAGTAAAATGGAGGGTAATTCAGTAACCTGGCTTTTTTAACGGTAGGATTTTCTTGAACTACGCAATCGGTCTAAGTTCTACACACAGTCATGTCACCGTGAAACCTTTTTATTCAGTACTGAGGCCGTTAAATGAGGTGTTTGTGAGTGATATAAGGAAATCCTCTCTGTGAAAACACTGCAAGCACTGAATAGAATTCAAAGTTAGAAGCTCTACGTGCTACTTGTACCTCATTGAAATGAAATGCGAATCTAGGTTAGCTTATCTCTCCACGTTTTGCGTCCGTGGTTCATCGATAGAATGTTCGCTGACCATGCACGTGGCCCAAGCTTTGGTTCCCAGCCGGTGTACACCTTTACCTCCATTAGCCAGTTGTAAACCGGACAAAGACGGAAGGTTAAGTCAGCACTATGTAGAAAAACTAGTGCTACCGAAACTTAATAGCTGGAGCTTAAGGCCCTGTGTTCCACTTGGAATGTAATAGTGTAATGAATAAATTAATCAATATCTTTCCACACAACTTTAGTTGTATGTGTTCATTGCATCAATCCGTGGAAAACATAAGGCTCAACATGCTAACGTTGAAATCGAAATTATTATATGATAACAGTGTAATATAAAGGAAGTTGACTGACTGCATTTCATAAAAGTATCTTCGATTATAATTGTGACAAAATAAAATCATACTGTGTATTTTAGATTATGTTAACTGAGTTAAAAATGTGTCAGTATGAAATGGGATGATTGGAACAGTGTAAAGAGTTAGATAAAAGATTTATTTCAACATTCATAACGAGCTAACATTGGTTAGGGAATCCTCAGAAGATTAAAGAGTACTAGACAACCGTTTATTCCTAGTTTTGGACTCCTCAGTATTGCACACCCAACGGGTCCAAGCCCAAGATCTTCATATGAGAAAGCAATTTCATAGGCCATTCAGCCACTGTGACCCGATTTAGTGATTAGCTCATGAATTCCAAATTCTGCGAATTCGTGATATATATATATTTATAGAGAGAGAGAGAGAGACTTCGCGGTAGAACTGCAGGCAACGTCATCTTGTAGCCGTTCGTCTATCTGTTGGTCGTGCTAAAGTCACGAATTTGTAGAACTCGGAATTCATGTGGCATTAGATCAGATCGTGGTGGCTGAATGGTCTATGAGCTTGCCTTCTTACTTGAAGTTCCTGGATTCGAACTCTAGTTCTTAAGTGCTGCTAAAGGTTTGCAAACTAGGACGTAACAGCTGTCTAGTGCTTCCTTGTTTTTCCAACGGTACTCTAACTGACGTCAGCTGGTGATCAGATTTGAAATAAACCGAATCCCCTGAAACTACCTCTTGAAAGAATAGGCTTACGTAAGAAGATGAAGCAGGCGCATACATGATGCATGTGTGACAGTTGTTATTTATACCGAAACTCTCATTTCAGTACAACAGTCATCCAAAGCTGAATAATGAGTATCGTTCAGGATGGTTTAGGAGGAATCTAGATGTACCCACTGAAGAGATTCACAAATTACACATTCACATTTAATATATGTACATATATAATCGCAAAAGGAAGAACTTATGAAACACATAAACATTATCAATTTAAAGCATGAAGAAAGTTAAATTACCATTGCAGGAACACAATGCACAATAAAGGAGTACTGTAAATAAAATTGGAATGAATAGTCTTGAATTTTAAAGGAAGTACCAGTATGCACCGTAATTCTGTTGATCAAGACTATAATATTCATTCTCTTTCAATAACGTCAATAAAACAATTCTAACCATAGACCTCGCTTTTATACTCAGTCAGCAAACATATCTCACCTAAATTACCAATGAAGATGTTCAGTTTAACATCAGATCATTTATTTTAATGAATATTACTAAATACTTTCTGTAAACCATATCCACGCAAGTATATTAGCGATAACCTCAGCATACTTAACTTTCTAAACATTCTTTTATCAATAGACAAAAGAACAGAGTGGAAATACGATAATTGCAAATGTGAGACGTTATTAAACAAAGCGACTAGGTGAATACTTAGAAGTCCATTGTATATTCATGATTTTAATTAGACTCATGCCGGTTAAGTCAACAAAATCAGCAACACACAACGTGTTTATGAGGGTGATTAGTTAACGGAAATTGTTTTCTTTTCATCTTCATTCTTCACCTACCAGGCTGGCGTGATTTAAACAATGCAAAGTCTCTTCATTGCCAAAATATGAAAGGTCATCGTTATTACATAAACAAAGTTTGTGTAATAAAAGTTTTATTATGTAATAATGTCAATGCAATCAAGATGCTAAAAGCTGGAAAAGCATCAGGACCAGATGGAATCTCAGCGAAAGCATTAGGAATGGACCCAGAGACAACAACGGACTTGGTGACGCCACTACCGGATAAGGTGTGGAAAGAGGGCAAAGTGCCCGAGGATTGGAAGAAAGGATACTTGTTCAAACTACCAATGAAAAGAGACTTAAGTCAATGCAAAAACTGGCGTGGAATTATGCTCCTGTTCATCCCAAGCAAAATATTAAGTCGTATCATCCTGGAGAGAATCAAACACGCCAACCTAGATGAAAAAATTCGACCGGAACAAGCTGGATTCAGGAGAAACAAGTCATGTACTGATCAAATCACCACTCTACGAATCATCATTGAACAAATCTTGGAATGGTAGTCACCTCTCTATCTCAACTCCATTGACTTTGAAAAGGCCTTCAACAGCGTCGATCGAAAGGTGATTTGGCAACTACTTCGCTACTACGGGGTCCCATCGACAATTATACATCTCATCCAACAGTTGTACGACAATGCTGCATGCCAAGTAATCCACAACGGGAAACTTACGGAAGCCTTCGAAGTGAGGACGGGAGTGAGACAAAGCTGTCTACTTTCGCCAATGATCTTCCTGATTGGATAATGAGACTGACAACGGACAATGTGGAAACAGGCATAAAATTAACTCACACAAAAAGAGACTTGGAGGATCTGGACTTCGCCTATGATTATAATTTATGTCTGATTTCCCACAAACTGGAAGATATGCAAGTGAAAAGCAACAAGCTGGCAGAAGAAGCATCAAAGATAGAATATCACTTTAGGTGAACACAGAGAAAACAGAGTGATGAAGATTCCTGGCCAACACCAACAGCCATAGCAACAACAACAACAGACAACAATCAGCCAGCATAAATGGGAGGAACCTGAAAGAAACAACCTCCTTCACCTACCTACCTACGTGGGAAGCATCGTTTCAACTACAGGCGCCAGGAAATGACGAGAATATCAAAGCGCGGATCGGAAAAGCAAGACAAGCTTTCATTACTCTGAAGTCTGTGTCCAGGAGGTCAACAGCACTCAGCATGGAAATGAAAATAAGATCCGAATTTTCAACTCCAATGTGAAGTGAGTCAGTGCTACTCACCAGGCGGATCAGAGACTTGGCCAGCGTGTCATAAAGAGCATCTCAAACAAACTTCAGACCTTCATTAACAGTTGTCTTCGCTCAATACTCGGTATAAGATGGCCGGCCAGAAAAGATCAGAAACAGGGTGAGATGTCTGGCAATGAGTAAACCGACCCAGCTGGAGCTGATTGTGAAACAAATAGGCAGGAAGAAATGGAGATTGATTGGCTGGCCATGCACTGAGGAAACCATCAAGTGACATCACTAGACAAGCCGTCGCTAGAGTGGTACCCGAAAGGGAATCGGCGAGTTGGTCGTCAGTGCAAGGGTGACTTGGAGGAGGTGATGTGAAGAGGAGATGAAAGCATGTGGGCAGAGTTGGAGCGGGGTGAAAAAATTGGCAGAAAATGCAAGGCAATGGAGACGCGCAGCTGAAGCTCTATGTTCCTCTAGGAATTAAAGGATATAATAATAGTAATGTAGGTATTATGAAATTATTTTTAATCCAGAGAAGTTCAGTATTCCACATCAAGTGAATCTGTACAATAACATGGATGGCCTCAGACATTATCTTATAGCAGATTATTTTGGAATCATCTACTGACTGGACAAACCAACCTTTACACTGATAGGATGATGACAAATTTTCTCTTGGAATTTCCAAGCCGTTCGAAAAATCATAAAACTATATATGCTCACTGTTATTGTGCTCCATGGTAAATCATAATTTGCACTGAGAGATATCAGATTTGAATTGTGAGCAAAAGACTTTGAAACTTGTTTCATTCATCCACTTTGTGTTTTTTGGGTTGACATATTTATTGAATGTACAGCTGAGATTTAAGCAAACAATAATTCTGACAAAAAGCTGTATGGAATGAATTCGTATACCCCTGTTACTTCTTAAATTCTTCTCAATATCAATGGACACTGGCACTTACCTTAGTGACTGAAAAACTAGCTTCATAATTCCACACTACAAATCTGGTGATAAGGCAAACATCCGTAATCACAGACCCATAAATATAACCCCAGTTATCTCACGAATCGTGGAGAAAGTTGTAAAAGATCAATTGTCAGACTACCTAATTAGGGAAGATCTTGTTACAAGGTCTCAACACGGATTTCTCAAAAATAGATCCTGCGTTACTTGTCACTTTGACTTTTTCAACTGCATCACTAGTGGTCGCGAAGCACGTAAGCTAGTCGTTGTTCTCTACTTCAATATATCTAAGGCATTTGACATGGTATCTCACAGTATTCTATTTGAGAAGCTGTACTCATGTGGAATTCGCAACCCATTACTGAACTGGTTAAAATCATTTCTTAGCAACAGGGTGCAAGTAACCAAAGTTGGATCTGTATTGTCTCATCCTAGGCAGATCTCAAGTGGGGTTGTGCAAGGTAGTGTCCTAGGGCCAATTTTATTTACAGTCTACATTAACAGCATTTGCAAGTGTTTCACCTCAGGTAAACCATTCCTATATGCTGACGACCTCAAAGTCATCTACTCCTGCTACACTCATGAATTGGGCGATATGCTTCCTAAAATACATCTTGAAATAAGTAGCCTTGCAACGTGGTGTGCTGAATCCTGTCTAAATTTTAACATTGACAAATACGGCTGGATTTGTATCGGAAACAGTAACCTTGATCTAACTCTTGAAATAAATGGGCGGAAACTACCCAAGCTCAACTCAGTCGTAGATCTCGGCATTAGATACTCTAGTAACTTAACGTTCGCTGAACAGACTGATCATGCCAGACGTAAAACACGAAGGCTGCTAGGATGCATAGCACACAATTTCTTTTGTTGTGAAACTAGGGTTTTATTATACAAAGTATGTGTCCGACCTACCTTAGAATACTGCCCGTTTATTTTTAGCGGACTCAGACAAAGTGACAAGCTTAAATAAGAGGGAGTGCAACGGCAGTTTACCCCAAGAATTCTTGGTTTAGAAAGTGGTCTGGAATACTATGAGCGATGCAACAGACTAAGATTAGAACCACTCTAGAAAAGACGTCTTATGCCAAACCTAATTTTTTACTACAAGCTAACTAATCTTCTCTTGCACTCCTGCAAGCCAATAACTAAACCTACCGCTGTCATCAGTTACAATCTTAGAAATCATCACAACCTCACTGCTATAGAGCATTGTCAGACTTACGTGCGGTACAACTTCTTCTTAAATAAGTTTTCAGTCATTTGGAATAGACTACCAGCTAATGTGCGCGATGCAAACACACTTCCAGTGTTCATCTCCTCAGTCACCAGACTGCTCAAAGATGACAATGCACTTCTACGTCTGACTCTTACACCCTCTTTTTCACCCTACATAGACATTTTAAGTTCTTTAAACGTGTAGTTACAACAAACTACAATTATGAATTTTAATATCTTTGGAACTAGATGATGAACATTTCTACACAGGACAGTAATATTAGTTTACACATAATATAAAAGTTAGCATAACGGGACTAGCTAGTTAGTGCACAAAAATAACCATAGTTACTAAACAGAATATATATGTATATGTAACCAGAAGGTCCTGGGTTCGAACCCTGGCTGTGGTTCCGTACTGCTGAAGGGTCCGATCCTAAGACGAAACAGTTTTCCAGTACTCCCAGGTTTTCCAGTGGTTCTCTAACTAATGTCAGCTCATGGTGATTCCTGTAACCAACCACATCCGTAAAACCCAACACTTAAATAATTATATTCGATAGTCGTCTGTAAAATTCACATCACTTTCGTTAAATCTGCCGAATTTATTAATCGTTTGTGTTTTGCTACATTCATGTTAAGATGGATTCGAACATTACAGATCATTCTCAATAAGTATTGCGGACACAACAGCGCTGCAACATCAGTGTGCCTTACATGAAATTGAACTGTCAACGCCTACTGGTAAAAGGTAAGTTTCACATTACTTTCACTGAATGGAACTGAAGAAATATTTTGTTGAAACATGCTTCACTGGATATAGTGCGACTTCTTCACTTTCTATAAAGTGCGTTAAAATGTGTTTTTTTTTAGTCTGAAAACGGTCGATATTTTCCTGATAAAGTGGACTCATGGATTTATATCACTTAGAGAAACGTAGAAAATCTGAACTTATTGGACAGATGTTTCACCCTTGTTTAGGACTACTCAGCAGTGTGTACCCACTGATAGGGTTCGATCTCAGAACCTTCTGGGTACAAGCTAAGCTCGTAGAAAATTCAGCCACTGCGAACCGAATCAGTGGCCAGCCAATGAATTCCAACTTTTATTTTTTATTTTATTTTTGATTACAGCTTGATTGCACACTGTATTTTTGGTACAAGTATGCAACTTTCAGCATGTGATATCGGTA